ATAAAGATGATGATCTGCGCCGTCTCAAAGAGAAAGTAGATGCCGGTGCTGATTTTATTATAACTCAAGTGTTCTATGACGTAGATTTATTTTTAAATTGGGTCAAAAAGTGCCGGGCAATAGGTATTACATGCCCTATCCTTCCTGGACTTTTACCAATTCAAAAATTACAATGGATTTAACAAAATTGTAAGTCTTTCAAAGACTATCGTTCCCCAATCTGTTACTGATGCATTAGAACCTATTAAACATGATGATGCTGCTGTAAAAGAGTATGGAATAAAGTTGGCCGTCGAAATGATTAGGAAGATGTATGATAATGGAATAAGTGGCTTCCATTTTTATACAATGAATTTAGAAAGGTCTACTAGATTAATCTTAGAAGCCTTACAATTTGTCGCTCCTGTAGAAAAAGTTAAACCATTACCCTGGTGTCCGGTAATATCTCTATTTTTAATATTTATATATTTTAATATTTTTAATACTTTTAATACTTTTTTATATATATATTTTTAATATTTTTAATACTTATATATTTTGAATTACTTATATTTACTTTCCTTTTTACTTTTTATAATCATTATTAGTCTCTTTCAGCTAAACGTAAAAAGGAAAATGTACGCCCCATATTTTGGAGAAACCGCATTAAAAGTTACGTTACTCGTACTGAAGCTTGGGATGAATTCCCTAATGGAAGGTGGGGGGATGCGAGATCTCCGGGTACTTTTAATTATATTTCTACTAATGTTATTATTTGAAATCAATCTACATATATAATTAACTATATATTTATATTTTTTAAATTAATAGCCTTCGGTGAACTCGATGGTTATGGTGTATCTCTTAAACAAACCGTATGTACTATGAATTTCTCTAAAAATTATTATTCATAAATTTTCTCTAAAAAATTCTCTTTAATTAATTAAACAGAAAGAAAATGTTCTTGAATTATGGGGATATCCTAATTCAATGAATGATATTTATAACATATTCGTGCGATATTGTCGTGGTGAGCTGGTTTATCTACCTTGGTCCGACCAATCCCTCGCGCAGGAAACTGATATAATCAAGGATCAATTGGCCTATATCAATTCATTGGGTTATTTAAGTATTAATTCACAGCCTGCCGTTAATGGCGTCCGCAGTGATCATAAAGTTTTTGCTTGGGGTCCTAAAAATGGTTATGTATATCAAAAGGTTGTATATCTAATTTATATTTAATTTATTTTAATTTATATTTAATTTATTATTTATTATTAGAATTCTTATTTCTTTTAATGATTTCATTATTAATCTTTTTTGTAATTATTAAATAGGCTTACCTGGAAATTTTTGTCTCTCCGACTCAACTTGATTCTCTTATCGCAAAAATAAAGCGCGACGTAAACATAACGTATTATGCCGTAAACAAACAGGTCTTACATTTATTTTCTTTCTTCATATACTTTTTCATTGCACGATTATCATCTTTTATATATTAAACTTTATATTTTATTAATATATTTATTTTTCAAAATTTGGGGATTTGGGATG